CTTGTTGACTTCTTACAGGTTCATCAATCAGGTATGTCACTCTGTCTTGGAAAGGGAGAGTGATGGAGCTAGGGGTGCTGGAAATACTGAGGCAGGATAAGTAAAACTAAGAGGTCATACTGACTTTTCTCTTTGTGTGAAGCCCAGCAGGCTCTGCATCCCTTGTACCGTTGTGTGTCAGCACCTAATTCTTTTGCAAGATAAGCAGTCCTACAGGATCCCAGTTGACCATCAGGTGATTAGAAGTACCCGATACCTAGGATGGCCCAGGAAATGGAAGAAAAAAGGCTTTTATTCCTGATGTAGCTTCTGCAATCTTCAGCCAATCAGCACTGAAAGCCCAAGAAGCTATTAGCTACAAATTCCTGCCTTGGGGTCGGGGCAGGGACTTCTCCACAGTCCTGCATGTGCAGCAGGCTCAAGATTTAGCTTATAGCAGCCATTTCCTCATGTTAATAGTAAAAAAAACACACCTTTAAGTGGAGACTTTATATGCTAATCAGATACGTATTGTATGTTGGAGGATGTAGATACTAAGGACATGCTCCAAGTGCAGGTCCGGCTTTGCATACTTGACCAGTATTTTATGAATATTTCATGTACAGCTCCCATAAAGGGAATTCCTCTGGAGGCACTAGCTGCTGTCTCTCCCTTTTGAGCAGCCTATTCTGCCTCTCAGAGCGTACTTTTGCCTTGCAAAAAACTCCTTTGCCTACCCTTTTTTTTTTTTTTTTTTTTGAGATGGAGTCTCGCTCTGTTGCCAGGCTGGAATGCAGTGGCCCGATCTCGGCTTATTGCAACCTCTGCCTCCCAAGTTCAAGCGATTCTCCTGCCTCAGCCTCCTGAGTAGCTGGGATTACAGGCACACACCACCACACCCAGCTAATTTTTGTATTTTTAGTAGGGACCTGGTTTCAGCATATTGGCCAGGATGGTCTTGATCTTTTGATCTTGTGATCCCCCCCGCCTCGGCCTCCCAAAGTGCTGGGATTACAGGCGTGAGCTGCCGTGCCTGGCCCCTTTGCCTACTCTTGCTTTGGACTGGCTCTCAAATTATTTTGTGTGGCAAAGTCAAGAACCTGAACTGCTCCACCAGCACCAGTGTTATTCCAGGAGAACTTCCTCCATAAGGAGCATGAGGTCAGGGCAGTAGATGTCCTCCTCTAACATCAGCTACCTGACTAAACTGGTGAAGAGAAGGAGAAAATAGAGGAAGAAACTTCATATCTCAAAAATTATCCTTCCACATGCTTAATGCAAGTAATAACTTCTCATTTTGAACATAAAAAGATAATTTTGTTCATAAAAATCAGATTCTTCCCTACTCTCTTTAAATAAATGTTGACGAACATTCAAGGAAATATAATTGAAAGGGGGATGTCAAATTATTACTCTTCCTCCAAACTGTCTGGCTCAATTTGTCCCTGCTTTTATGTATCCCCTTTTATGTCATTCTTTGTGCTTTCTCTCCCTTGGTGTAACCTATACTCCACCTTTTCTTTTTGTCTCCTACTATCTGTTATTCAGATCTCATATTCCATGGTTAACAAAATTCCTTATATCTTCAAGCCCTCCACTTAATAATCCTTATACCTCCTGTTTGTAGCAGGAACCTGGGTCTCTCCTGAGGATGACACTTCCTCTGCTGTGCCCTACCCCTTATCTCAGGCTCAGAGGTTTCACGGTGTGGTTGTCAATCCCTAAGTCTTCCAGATCATGATTCTGCTTCCTTTCCTTTAGGATTCAAGAGATTTGGTTCTCTCACTTTGTAATCTCTCCTTTTTGCCGTTATTTACTGACCACCCACTCACTCATTCTCATTTGGTTTTCAATTCTAATTATATCAACCTCTACATTCCCAAGCCCAGTCAGAACCCTGGGTGGTTTTCATGCTCTGTGAACAACCCATCCAACACTTAGGTCTCATCTTTTTTTTTTTTTCTCTTCAAGGACCTTTTCTCCCACTCATTTTCAGTCTTGCTCAGCCAAAGTCTGGAGCCAAAACTGTTTTAAAATTGTAATTCAGACTCATCACTCTGAGCTTTCTGGCTCAATTATTTTTATGGTACCTCTTATTCCATCACATTGGGACTTCTCATTCAATGACTCTTCTGTCTTTCACCACTCTCTCACTGTTATCCAGCTTATGTGCAATATTCTGTAATTGAAACTACTCTTGTTCTAATAACCTAACCTTCCATGCTTATGTAAATTACACTAACCCGGAGAAACCCGGAGCCCTGGAGGAATTCAACCACTCACTTTCTCATATTCTTGTAGCTGATCTTTTGGGTATTACTTGAGAAAGTTCTACTTTTTACAGATTGAGACATTGTAAATTTGTGGTCATCATCTCCATCTGAGGGATAAAGTATTTCACTCAGTTCATTCTCCTATTGCAAACTGTCTCACTGCCCTCAAACTTCCAAGCCAAATATCTCCACCTTCCACCGAGCTCGTGGATCAGAGGAACAGCCTCAATTTTATGCTACGAAGTTCATAAATCTCCCCGCATTTTAGTCCTGTTTGCCTCCTTTTGTCCTACTGCAACGGAGGAGGTATCTCTCCTGTTCTAATAGCCCAATTCCTATACGCTATTCTCCATACCACACCCTACTTATTTTCCAGACCTCACTTTTGTTAAATTCCTCCTAATTCCAGGATCTGTAATTTCTCCAACTCTATTGCCTTCCTGTAATCAGTTTGTAAACATTCTCAATTTTTTTCCATTTGAAAAAAATCCAGAAAATGAAAAAAGCAACTAGGTGGAGTAGGGATGAGGGTGAGAAGTCAGTATGATTAATGAAAGTGCTAGGGTGGGGATTAGGATGGAGGTGAAGGTGGAAGTAAGGGTAGGGTAAACTTCGAAGGGGGCCTGGGGCTAATATGAGATCACAACTTTTAGCTGTTGGTCCTTTTTTTTTTTTTTTTTTTTTGAGACGGAGTTTTGCTCTTGTTGCCCAGGCTGGAGTGCAGTGGTGCGATCTCAGCTCGCTGCAACCTCTACCTCCTGAGTTCAAGAGATTCTCCTGCCTCATCCGTCTGAGTAGCTGGTAGTTGCGATTTCAGGCATGCAACACCACAACCAGCTAATTTTGTATTTTTAGTAGAGACGATGTTTCTCCATGTTGGTCAGGCTGGTCTCGAACTCCCGACCTCAGGTGATTCGCCTGCCTCAGCCTCCCAAAGTGATGGGATTACAGGTGTGAGCCACCGCGCCCGACCTGGTCCTCTCTTGCTAGGAGTAACAGCCCACGACTTTTTTCACCTGGACCAGATCACTTCTTGGCAGTCCTACTTCACCTTCCATTTCTCCCTCCAGCTACTTCATGAAGGAGCTGTTCTCACTAACCATCTCTATTTTTTTTTTTTTTTTTTGAGACGGAGTCTTGCTCTGTCGCCCAGGCTGGAGGGCAGTGGCCGGATCTCGGCTCACTGCAAGCTCCGCCTCCCGGGTTCACGCCATTCTCCTGCCTCAGCCTCCCGAGTAGCTGGGACTACAGGCGCCCGCCACCTCACCCGGCTAGTTTTATGTATTTTTTAGTAGAGACAGGGTTTCACCGTGTTAGCTAGGATGGTCTTGATCTCCCGACCTCGTGATCCGCCTGTCTCGGCCTCCCAAAGTGCTGGGATTACAGGCTTGAGCCACCGCGCCCGGCCTACCATCTCTATTTTTAATGTTACTCCGCCATCCACCATAATGTGGTTCCACCCCCATCACTGCATTGTAACTGCTTCTGCTAGGGTCCTTCATGTTGTTAAATGTGATGGACCTCATGGAAACATGTGTTATTGTTGACCATTCCTCTTCCTAAAAACTCTGTTCTCTACAGTCTCTCTGGTTGTTCTGTCTCAGTTTCTTTTATCAGCTTTAAGTAGCTATCAGCTCTAGCCTGAAAAAGTTGGAGTTCTTTAGGGCTCCATTTTCACTTTCTGCATCTCTCCTGGTCCATCTCATTTGATTCATGGTTTCACTGACTAAACAAATCCATCTCTGACCCCAGCCAAGTCGCAGCCACTTGTATACAGCTTCTTGTTTGATTTTCCCATTTAGATGTTTTAACACACCTTAAAGTATTTTAGAAACATGTCCAAAACTGAACTTATCAACATCTCCCACGAACCTGCTTATCCTCCAGGTTTTAAAAAAAATTTAATTTCTGTAAATAGCTCAAGACAGAGATTTAGCATTTATTCCTGTTTGATCCTGGTCAAACATTATTCCTGTTTGACTACACTATATTACGGAGGGTCTCTTGTAAATCTCTCAAATCTGTCCATGTCTGTTTCTAAAGGCTAGAATGCTAGTCTGTCTGCTTTTACTTCTTATCTGGACTGTGATATTAACCTTGTTTTTAATCTTCCTGCTGTTTATGGTTTTATTTTTGTTTTTACTGCTCTATCTTTAATGCCCAGAAAAGTCTTGGTCACCGCTAGGTGTACAATATGAATAAGTAAGGTTACTCATTTTTGTCTTTTTCAAAAAGTCTGGTCTACAGGCAAAATATTCATAGAAAATCATAAATCTGATCAAATCACCAGTACTGTTTTTATAGCTTAAACACCTTCAATGGGTATATTTGCTTCCCAAATTAAGTCTAAAACTTGGTTAAGCAACCCTTTGCCTCTGTCCACCTTTCCAACCCCATCATTCCCTGCTCTCCTTCAGTCACTTGGCTATCCCTCACTGGGCAACCTTCAATTCCTCTCTCACTTCCAGCCTTCAGTCATGCTCCTTGCTATGAAGCTCTTCACTAGATTCTTGTACTTTGCTGACTCTTGTTTGTTCTTCATCTTTCATTCAACTACTTCTCCTTCAGATATGCCTAATCTGAGCTCCAGGTTGCTTTTCCCATTATACTCTCTGCTTCACGTTTCATAACACTTCTCACACCTTTGGAAATGTATGTAGTGCCGGTATATTCCACACTAGCCCCAAAACCAGGACTCTTGTTCATCACCATTTTCCCAGCACATCTAATAGGAATAATGGCCGAATTAAAGAACAAACAAATGAACCATGTATTCATCAACATGAATAATTTACATTCTCCTACCCCATCGATACAGTTGACTGTACATTCCTTTTGTTGTTCCTTCTTCTGTATATTCTATTGCTGAACTGTCATTTTTCCAGTATTTGGAGACATTTTCAAATTTTTTCCATTTGAAAAACTGGAGTATGAGACAAGCTGGGATGGACACAGGAGTTGGAGATGTGATGTCTGTTTTCCTGTTTGGAAGCAAGATGGTTTTGATTCCTTGTAAGCCCTCTTCCAGGTTCTTCTGACCTTGGACATAATCAGATGTGGAAAACCTTTAAGTCCGTGCAGTGATTTCTAATGCAAAGTACCTTCTATCTTTTTACATGTTGGTGGCAAACTAAGGGTTGGTTTTAAAAAATGTACTTGATAAGTGCATACATTTTGAATATGGTTTAGATTAAATCATTTCCTAAGGGTTTCATTTTTACTAGTTTTATTGGCAATTGGCAAATGTGTCCTTATATTAAACTATATAAAAGAAGTTCTAAAGGAATTGACTCCAAAGGCCATTTAAGTATTTTTCTTTTGAGAGGAAATTATTTGCCACATTTAACAAATCGACATCTCAAATGTAATCTACATCTTCAATGTTGCCTTTAGAGCATTTTAAGCAATAAAAGCCAGAAAAATCTCTTGATTATTGTTGTACAGAGCTCCTTTTGGCCTCTTGGAAATTGAGGTAGAAAGATTGGAAAGAGAGTAATAAGAAATAGAAAGTAGGGAGGGAGGAGAAATATTCTTTTTCCTTATATTTTGATTAGTTTGCACATAACTGACACTTTAAATCCGCTTTCAAAATATTATGGAACTTTACCAGTAGATGAGTTTTTAAAAACTGTGTGTGTGTTTGGGAGAGACTTTCCTTGAGACTCTGAGGCTTCAGGCTAAACAGAGAAGTTTGGGAGACGACTGCCAAGGTTCGGGATAAATTCCGTGATGTGACTTTAAGAGCATCATCCGTGAGAAGATTTCTCCCCAAATAGCTCCATCAAGAACCTATCACAGTGTCAGAAATTTTGCAATTAATTATTTATTTCTAGGCTTACGGGATTATATATCTAGAAGTCTCTGAAAATGCAATTTTCTTGTATAAGGTCTCTCTCTCAGACACAGATACATGTATACCACTTAGCAGATATTAACATTAGTTAACCAATTATCTATCCTTAAGGGAAAGAAATGCAGGAAGGGGTATTCTGATTGGTGAGACCAGCATACAACAGTTCTTTGGATGTAAGCAAAATCAAGTCATCTTTATTAGTAATAAATTATTGGAAGGAGATCGGTGGCACCCACCATCAGAGGAAGAGGCAACCAGTCAGTCCTTAAGGACAGAAACTAGGGCAAGTCTGGAAACTTGGACAAGATGATTACCTCCATATTCCTCAGTTTCCTCATTTGGAGACATAGTGCTGACTTTATGAAGTTGTGGTGATGATCAAATGAGGTAATACTCATGAAATTCTTAGTGTAGTGGATGGCACATAGCAAGAGCTATTTATAACACAAAGCAATCCCTCAGCCTGAATGTAGAAAGCTTTCAGGAGCTGCCAGTGGGAAAACTCTGGCCAATGGAAAGACAGTGGTGACTTGAGCCAGGGACACAGTGGTGGAGGTGATGAGAAACAATCAGGCTCTGGACTTCCATAGAAGGTGGAATGCCAACTGTATTTGCTAATGGATTATGTGAAGCTTGAGAGAAAGAATGAAGAATGATGTCAGTTTCAAACCAGAGCAAATGGAAAGTTGGAAGTTTCCACTTATTGAGTTGGAGAAGACTGGGGCCAATAAACAGTCCATTTGTAGATGTGTGAAGTTTAAGATGTCTATTAAACATCTAAGGGCAGTTGTCAAGAAATCAGCTGGGTATAGAAGTCTGGTATGCACTAGAAAGGTCTGTGTTTGAGTGGTAAATATGAAACAGCAAGTGAGAAAAATATATGTGGAAGATAAAATAATCCCCAACTACTTCTAAGGCTATCACTGATATTAATGAATTTCCTCTGACATTCATTCTATGTTCTTTTTTGCCTCTAGCCAGAGCATCAACTGATTGGATTTCTACGTTTGATAGGACAATCTACACCTTTGTTTCAGAGGTTTCTGTGCCTTTGGCAGAACTGTCTGTAGTACATTTACTGAAATCACCATTAACATTTCCTATTGGCCATAGTAAATCAAGGTGGTAGTCAGAGTACCCTTCTGGCTGGATAGGCCTTGTGAAGTTCTGCAATAGGGAAGCTGGCAAAATGGGACAACATGAAAGTACTTTGAAGGAAGAAGTGTTGGGAGTGGGAAAAGGAATGTTCTAAAGTAAGATTTGGTTTGCTTCATTGATAATTACTTACCATCTTTCTCTAGGAAACTGAAACAATGTCAGACTACACCCAGCATCATTTCCCTCTCCCCGTAACTGTTGGGAGACACTGCTCAGACAATCATGGGCAAAACTGCCTCAGCCCTCCTCCACTGCAGCGCACAAGGTCAAAAGCAGGTTGCATTTGTACTCTTGTGCTATTAATTTTCATTATCCAAAGAGTCATTAGCTGAAACTCAGCCCAGTTTTTTTTTCTGTTCAGAGTTTATTATCACCACCTGACTAATTATTAAATAGCAAGCCAGCATCAATTAGCTCCAGACACATACATGACAATTAAACTGCAGAGACACGACAGGGTTGAACAGCACAGCCTCTCGAAGTGCATAATCATCTGGCAGAGACTACAGCCCTATGTATAAGCAATAAATGCCTTTAATTGACTTCATGGGAAATAAGGTCCTCATGTCAAAACATCTGGGTACAATTTTCTGGGCGTTTAAACAACTCTGGCTCTGGAGATGCATAGTGTATGCCCCAGGCTGCATCATGACTGAATTTAATCAACCTCCTTGCTCTTTATCCTTACTCCTTTCCATGCCTTGCCACATAATGCCCTTTCCTTCAACTCCTGGTCAGGCCCACCTGTTCTGGTTTGAAGTGATGGGTTTTTCTCCCTGCATCTCATCACCCAGTCTTCTGCATGCTGAATTTCTGGCCATTCAATGGTCAGGATAGAAGGGTCAGATTGGGCACTTTGCACATGGTCCTTACCCCTTGTTTTGCTGAAAATGTGTACTTATCCTTCAGCTCCTGGCCTAAATGTCACTGACTTAATGTGGCTTTTATGGACTACCCCTGAGTAGTTACCTGCTTTATACTGCATTTTCCCACTTCCAATCTCTGGAACAGTACTTCTCAGATTTATGCTGTAATTTAACTGCTCACACATCTGTCTTTTCAAATAACAGTGAGCTGCTTGAGTTTAGAGAGTATGTGGTTCTTGTTTTGAAGCCTAAGCTCCCAGTTTATGAGCAATTCGGTGAAAGTTTGTAGCATTAATGAACTGATATTTGCTTGGTTAACCAAAAAAAATTGGGGTTAGAAATATGATTGAACTAAGTGTATTAAACAGTTGTTACTATTTTCCTATAGTTAAACACTAAGAAATATTGGTAGGTTTCATATTCTCTCCATGGTTAGGAAGCACAGGTGATATGCAGTAGAATCATGGTTCTGTGTGGTCAGAAGACAATCAGAATTACCTGAGGGATTGATGGGAACGCAGATTGCTTGGCCCTACTTAAGACTACAGAATCCAACCCTTTGGAAGTAGGGCTCAGGAGTCTGGATGTTCAAAAAGTTCCATCAGTGAGTCTTATGGACACCTAAGTATAAATGCCACTCTAGTAGAGAGAGGAAGGGATAATGAGATAAAGTGTTCCTTTAAAATGCAACCAGCATTCATTCAAAATAAATAAAACCATTAGAGACCAGAATATATTGAGAAGTGAAACTGTATTCCATCCTCTGATAGAAGAGAGACAACTTTTTATTCCCAACCCCTCTTACCTGCATTCTTATCATTCCTTCAACTCTAAGGCTCTGTACATATCCTTAGGCCTATGTGCTTCATGACATTTTCCACGAGTGCCCCTAATAAAGGAAAGTAGAGTTATACTTCTGGGATTTTGGGGATATAGGCCAAAGCAGCCTCATGGCAAAAAAATTTCTGTAAAGTCTTCAATTTTATCTTAAATATTCTTGTTGCTTATGAATTCTCATATATGTATACATACATACACACATACACACAAATATATGTTTAAAATAAATAATGTTTTAAAGCACTTACTATAAAAGTAAGTTTCAGGATTTTGTACCTATTTTTCTTTTGTCATAACTGAATGGCTACTGTTTTGTCTGTTTGAAAGATATCACCTTAAAATATCAGTGAATAAATATTCTGACAGGAGAAAAAATAGAATTATAAAACAAGAAAAGCTATAATAGGTACTAAAAAGGAAATGATCTAATAATTGCTTCAAGTTGTCTTTGAAATAAGAGAGGCCTAATTTAGTGGCTATGTAATCTTGAGCAAATGATACTACCTCTCCAAATTTATGGTCTTACATATGTAAAATGAAAACACCAACTATTCAGCAGTGGTTGTAAGGAATCAAGATAATGAACATAAAACCAATGGTGTATATATATCAAAAACAGTAATATGTCAAAAAGAGTGACTGTTGGTCTTCTTCTGGCCATGACAGAGTCACTGATACCTGGATAGCTTACCCACTATAAAAAAAATCTGCAAAATGTACCAAACAAAGGAAACAACTGTTTCCATCATTTAACACTGGCAGGACAAGGGACTGTGGATCCTGACAGAAGCGAAACAACAAGGTGAGCAGTATGACGATCCCAGCTTGCAGCCTGGAGGCAGTTTCTGGACTATGCACAGAGAGAGGGAACTCAAGCAGGGAGAAGTGGTCTTGCTGAGCTGAGACTACAGAGATCAGAATTTGGTGGGACTAGGGCAGGTACAATGTGTGGTGCAGAATATTAGAGAGGAGAAGGCTATCCAGAGAAAGAGCTATGGAATCTGCATAGGGGTCTCCTCAGTTCCTTGGACAAATACACATCTGCACATCTCAAGGTGAAATCCACAAGACCACCTACGCAACAAACAACATCTGGGGAAAGAACAAATTATCAAAGAGCCGTAAACTGAATAATTCCCAGAGTCATCCTAATGAAGTTTTATAAATGGCCTTAAAGGGCTTGATGATCCACAAGTAAACTAATTGCCAGTTAGAAAAAAGACTAATAGTATTTAAGGAAAACTATAAAATCTGGATACTCGAAATATATTGACATTGTCTAGCATCAAATAATAAATCATTAGGTGAAGAAACAGGAAAATATGACCAAGAACAAGGAAATAAATCAATGTCTAGAAACAGACTCAGAAGTTAGATATGATAGAATTATTTTATATATCTATAGAACTAGCAAACAAGAATTTTAAAAGAGCCATTATAAATATGAACAGTCTTTGTGGCATAATATTTTGTGATCAAACACATTAAAACTGGATTCTTAGAAATGAGGCAACAAAATGTTTGAAGAAATTATGGTCAAAAACAATGTCCTGATATGAAAAATACCATTACAGATTATGTAGAAGTGGGGAGGAAAACTACACTGAAAGGGGCAGAAAGGGAGTGCTAGGCCAATAATCTTACAGATGATCACTAAAGTAATTATATCTTGGCTGATACTGATAGTAGTGTCATCGGTGGATGAGCATTTTTCATATAAGAGCAGAATTTGCCTAGAATGCTTTAACTTACAACAAAGCAGTGAAGGTAATTTTAAGTTCATTTGTGGATTGTTTCATCTAGCCAACAGATTAGAAAAGGAGATAAGAGTTCAGGGACAAGATCTGTCCAGTACCAAGACGTATGCTAGCTAGTTGGGACTTTTCTTGAAAACATGAATACAAAAAAAGATGGAGAAAATACAAAATACCAGAGCATTTTAATGAAAATTCACGATGATCTGTTCAATTTTTATTTGCTGCTTTAGGTCAGGAGAAGGAAGTATTGTGGTAGAAGACAATATCCGCTGATTTCAATTGAATCATCGTATCTGATGTCATTGTTGTGGGTTCAGTACCTGCTATGGGTTGCATGTGTCTCCTCCAAAACTCAGGTATTGCAACTGTGATCATATTAAGAGGTTGGGCCTTTAAGAAGTGATTAGGCCACAAGGGCTGCTTCCTCACTAATAGGATTAAGACCTTTTAAAAAGAGGTTTCATGCATCATTTGGCTAGTTTGCCATTTCACCTTCTGCCATGTGAGGCTGCATCAAGACCTTCACCAGATGCTTAATGCTTGTACTTTAATCTTGGACTTCCAGCCTCCAGAATTGTGAGAAAATACATTTTTGTTCTTCTTTAATTACCCATCTGTGGCATTCTACTGTAGCCGCACAAAACAGACTAAGACAATACCTAACCAGACACATTAGATTTTTGTGCTTTATTATGAGTCCATTCATCACATATTTGCCCTGGCCTGTTAGTCATAAATGAGTGTTATTGATGACAAGAAAAATGGATATTATAGTGTTGATAGAACAGAAAATTTTGTTAACTACAAATGACAAGGCATGTAATTTTTTTTTTTTTCTAAAAAGCAAAAACCACATCAAATGACAAAGATAATATTTGGGTAGAATCAGGTTTGTCAAAATTCACTTAACAGCACTACTCACTGTAGCTAAGAGGTAGAAGCAATACATTGTCCATCAATGGATAATGGGTAAATAAAATGTAATATATGTTTACAATGGAACATTAGCCTCTAAAAGGAAGGAAATCCTGTTACATGCTACAACATGGGTGAACCTTGAGGACATTATCCTAGTGAAACAAGTCACGAAAAGTGAAATACCGTATGATTTTACTTATTATGAGGTAACTAAAGTAGTAAAACTCATAAAACAGAAAGTAGGATGTTAGTTACCAAGGAGTACAGGGAGGGAAAAACGGGGAGCTGTTGTTTAATGGGCATAGGATTTCAGATTTGAAGATGAAAAAGTTCTGGTGCTATTTTACAACAACATGAATACACTTAACATTACTACATGGTACGCTCAAAACAGTTAAAATGATAATTTATGTTATGTGTTTTTTTAACCACAATTAAAAATGAATACCTGTACACATTATGTAAAATTTACAGCTCTGTGGGGATGGACATTATTTAAATCATTTTAAAAGTGTAGAAATGGGCCAGGAGTGGTGACTCACATCTGTTATCCCAGCACTTTGGGAGGCCGAGGCAGGTGGATCAGCTGAGGTCAGGAGTTCGAGACCAGGCTGGCCAACATGGTGAAACCCCGTCTGTATTAAAATACAAAAATTAGTCGGGTGTGGTGATGGGTGCCTGTAATCCCAGCTACTAGGGAGTGGGGGTGGCAGAGGCAGGAGAATTGCTTGAATCTGGGAAGCGGAGGTTGCAGTGAGCTGAGATCATGCTACTGCACTCCAGCCTGGGGAAAAAAAAAGTGTAGAAGTGAGATTCAGAGAAATAAAGGGATTTGTTCAAAGTTACCCAGCTATGTTCACAGAAGAATTAAGATTTAAATGCAGTTGACTCCAAAGTCCATGCCCCTTTTGTTCATCTTGCTTCAGGAGAGTGGACAAGTTCATTGCTGCAGGGTGCTTGTGGCTCAAGGTCCCTAGACCATGAGGAAGTATCCTTTCTTTAAATTCTTCTGTATTTAGCCTTTTTTTTTTTTTTTTGCTTCTCCTTTGAAACTCTTTTTGCTCATTTTTTTCTAGGAGTGATTTTTCAGGTTTAGGAGTTTTAGACCTGACGATACCTTTAAGCATCTAGTCCAGAGTTGTCCACCTCTCTTGTGTGATTTGGGTAACATGGTATTTAGGGGGTTTTACCTGATGTCTCCCGGAAAAGCTCTGTTTTTACCTATTTATTGTGTTGGAATTTTGTGTTAGGATTTCTTTCCTAAAGAGAAAATTTATTTCATTGTAAGAATATTTAATATGAGATCTATCCTTTTAGCAGATTTTTAAGTGTATAGTATTGCTAATTATAGGAACCATATTGTAAAGCAGATTTCTAGAACTTATGCATCTTGCATAATTGAGACTATATGCTCATTGATTGGCACCTCCCCATTTCTCCCTTGTTATACCTTCTGGCAATCACCATTTTGTTCCCTTATTTTATGAGTTTGACTCTTTTAGATACGTCATATAAGTGGAATCACACAGTATTTGTCCTTCTGTGACTGGCTTATTTCACTTAGTTTAATTATTGAAGGCCCACCACATGTAGTCATAATAGCAGCAGCAGCAGCTGCTGCTGCTTCTTTTTCGTCATTGTCTTCTTCTTGTTCTTCTTCTTCAGCTGAATAGTATTCCATTGTATGTATATACCACGTTTCCTTTATCCATTTATCCTTCAGTGGACATTTGGATTATTTCTACATCTTGTTTACAGCACTGTAATGAACACTGGAGTTGCACTAATATCTCTTTGGGAATCCTGATTTCATTTCTTTGGATAAATACCCAGAAGTAGGATTGCTGTATCATATGGTAATTCTACTTTTAATTTTTTTAGGAATATCCTTACAGTTTTCCATAGCAGTGGCACCGTTTTGCATTCTCGCCAACATTTTATAAGGATTCCACTTTCTCCACATCCTCACCAACACTTGGTAACTCTTGACTTTTTGATAGTAACCATCCTAATAGTCGTGAAGTGGTATCTCATTGTGGCTTTGATTTACATTTTCCATATGCTTAGTGAGATTGAGCATCTTTTCATATACCTGTTGGCCATTTGGATATCTTCCGTACAGAAATGTCTATTGAAATCTAAGATTTTATTTACAAAATATAAAAAAGATGTTGCTGCTAGGAAACTAACTTAGTCTACACATCCATAGATGGGTCAACTGCAGCCCAGAATGACTTGCCAGGGGGAAATAACTAGTGAGTGGTAAAGGCAAGGTAAGAATTTAAATCTCTTTCATAATTTCTTCTTTTCTTCTCTTGGGGACTCTGCTTGCTAAACTTGTATAACTCTTTGCCCACAATTGTGGAACTATCTCATTCTTTTTATCCTGGTTTTTGTATATGCGTTTTATTTCCATCTCTGAAGGGTAATGTCTTTGAAGGCACATCACTCATCCTAGTGTCCACTATTGTTCGAGTTAAGACACAATATTTGCACATTCTTTTATTCATTTAACACACATTGTGGTTTCTCAATATATTCCTGCCAGTAACATGAGTAAATATAGTAGTGATAGATTTAAGATGATATGGTCATTAACCTTCATCTCCTATTATGTAACTTTTTGGGGGTAGAAAATACAAGTTAGTCTTGAAGGCCAGTTTCAAAAGTAGACAATTTTTAGAGCTGTTTCACTGTTAAAAGTATAATATTATCATCGGAATGTGTTTTCATGATCAAAATGAAAGTTTGCTGCTTGTTTGTGTAGCTCCTGGTGAAAGCAGAGGGAGATGGGTATAAGATGGGAACTCTGGGAAGTCCCAGATGGAGGAGACAGAGGGCTCATGGTCTGGAGTGCTGCATTCTGGATGCATTCCACCTTCAGATACCTTTTCAAGTGTTTGAAGTTCAGTGAATTGAGAGTGTATTTTGCTAGCTGCCTTTTCCATTTGCTCCTCAACCTCGTGTATACTTAAGTGGCAATGTCATCCATCTGTTTTATATTCATTTATACTGAACTCATCTAAATGTTATTTGGAGAGAAAGAAATCCAAAGACTCTTTCCTGTGGATTTAGTTAATACAGATTAATCTTCAATTCCAGAAAGAAAAAGCACAAACAAATAAATACCAGGACCATTAGGCTAATTTGTAACATAGGAGCCCTCTTGTCCAGCCACAGGCAACATGGAGACACAAGTATCTAACCTTTATCCCTGCATCTCCTATTTCATTATCATTTACCCTTTTTGAGTGCATGTGCGTGTGTGTGTGTGTGCACCTCTTGCATGCCCTGCTGTCTTAAAGTAGTGTTCCAACCTCATGATCTTGAATACAATTCCCATATGGGGAAGTAAACTTTGCTTTACTTATTGGCAGACTGTTTATCTAACAAAGGAATTTATGCTAAGATGTTCATGGAAAATATTGGGGTGAAACAATAACAAGACTTTATTGAGAGATTACTACATGTCGTAAACTGGATTTGTTTCTTATATTCTCATAACCACCCTGGAAGGAGATAGTATTATTTTCCTCATTTGAAAGATGGAACTTAGGTACAGAGAGGTTGAGTGACTTGGTTGTAGGGCTTGTACATTGCAGAATAGACATTGCAATTGAGACCATCTAACTCTAAAGGCTACACTTTTAACCATCATGCTTATTGCCTCTTACTGACTTACCACCCTCTCAAAGTGTTTGCATTTAAGTGTCGCTTCCCAGGATAGCTTAATCTTAAAGAATGACCCTGATGGGAAGGAAGAGAAACAACCATTACAGATGGTCATGCAATTATTGCAGAAAATTGGGAGCTACAAAACAACCCTTCAGGGCTCCTGAACCATAAAATCCAGTGGGTGAGTAGGTGGGAAAATTATTCCTCTTTCACGTGGGATTGATTCATAAGGTAAAAAGATACACATGTATTTTTCCCTTTTAAGTGTCCAGACGTAAATCTACTTGTTTCAAGAATACCGTTTATGATAGAATATTGGGTATATTGTATACCCATTACTGAATATATATACCCAAAGAAATATATATCATACTATCATAAAGACACATGAACACGTAAGTTCACTGCAGCACTACTCACAATAGCAAAAACATGGAATCAACCAAAATACCCATTAATAGTAGACTGGATAAAGAAAATGTGGTACATATACACTATGGAATACTATGAAGCCATAAAAACTAACAAGATCATGTCCTTTTTACGAACAGCGATGGAGATGGAGGCCATTATCCTTAGCAAACTAATGCAGAAGCAGAAAACCAAATACTGTGTGTTCTTACTTAGAAGTGGGAGCTAAATGATGAGAACATGGTCACAAACAGGCGAATAACATAGACACACTGGGGCCTATCAGAGGGTGGAGGGTGAAAGGAGGGAGAGGATCAGGAAAAATAACAAATGAGTACTAGGCTTAATACCTGGATGATGAAATAATCTGAACAACAAATTCCCGTGACACTAATTTACCTATATAACAAACCTACACACACACCCATGAACTTAAAATAAAAGTCCACTTAAAAAAAGAATCTGTTGTGGTTCTTTCAGTGTTGTATGGCAAACATATTAAAAATGGGCACTAGATATTCCAGGCAGTTTGAAATTCTGCAACCTGAATTTTCTTTCCCTTCTAACTTCTCCTGCACATGTTAACTGTGCTCTCCCCTTACTCCCTACCAAACATGAGTATCTCAGTGTTAAGATTCTCAAAGCAAGGTCTCCAGACCAGCAGCACCTGGGAACTTGTTAAAAATGAACATTCTTGGGGTCTGCCCCAGATCTACTAAATCAGAAACTCTGGGGCTATACATTCATCTGTTCTCCAGGTGATTCTGACCTACATTCAAGTTTTCAAATGACTATCTCTGTGGATGGAGTCAATGAAGTGGAACGTGTCCTCTGATTAACCACGCTCTGTGCTGAGAAGGGTGGATTAACCAGGACATGGCTAGGCTTGGATCTACTGGCAGCAAACATATTTTGAAATGCAAACATTAGATGTAAAAGTCCAGGAAGAGACATTTAGAAGTCGAAGTGAAGAGGTAGAAAAAGCCTTAACAGCAGTAAAATACAAATGATTGACCTCTCTGTGGAATCCTCATGGAAAAGAACAAGTCTGACATCTGACCCGAGTTACCCAAGTTTGGAGAAGGGAGGGGAGCATATGGTAGGAAAAGGCAGCTTTATTAGTTTCCTCTCATAATAACGTACCACAAATTGGCTGTCTTAAACAACATGGGTTTATGTCTCACCATTCTGGAGGCCAGAAATCTGAAATCAAGGTGTCAGCATGTTTATACTCCCTCGGGAGCCTCTAGGGAAGGAACTTCCCCATGCCTCTCTTTTTGCTTCTGGTAGTCTTAGGAGTTCCTTGGCTTCTGAGTACATCTTCCCAATCCTCCATTTTTGCATGGCATTCTCCCCCTGTGTCTGCACATCCTCTTCCCTCTGTGTGCATCAGCCTCTGAGTCCAAATTTCCCCTCTTTATGAGGACACCAGTCACATTGAATTAAGACCCATCCTCATGAGCTCATTTTAATTTGAATACCCCTGAAGACTAATTTTCC